ATTCCCATGCTTTAAAACTCTTTTTTTTTTTTTACTTTAAATATTATATTTTCGGAGGCTCCTGGGTGGCTCAGTCAGTTAGCCATCTGCCTTCGGCTCTAGTCATGGTCCCTGGGTCCTGGCATCGAGACCCGAATCGGGCTCCATGCTCAGCGGGAAACCTGCTTCTCTCTCTCCCACTCCCCCTCCTTGTGTTCCCCCTCTCGCTGTGTGTCTCTCTGTTAAATAAATAAATAACATCTTTAAAATAAATAAATAAATGCATAAATACATAAATAAAGCTTTGCTTGCATTTGAATTTCAGCCAATGGAATCATATTGGATATATTATTTCAATACTTGGGGTTTTTTCCCCAACATTGTCTACATTCACCAATATTGATATATACAGCTACAGCTCATCATTTTTATTGTTGTGTAGTATTCTGTGTGTGATATACCAATATTTATTCAGCCACTTTCTGCTGATGACATTGGGCTGTTTCTAGTTTTTGTTATTACCTACAATGATGCTAAGAACATTCTCATACATGCTTCCCAGGAAATCTGCGCAAGTGTATTTCTAGGGCGTGGAATTTCTGGGTCAAGGATATAAGCTAGACAGCACTAATAAGTGTTGCCAAATGTTATACCAGTTGACACCCCCAGGAACATCATATAAGATTTCCAATTGTTTCATATCCTTGCCAAGCCTTAAGAGTGATACTTTTTAATTATTTGCCAATGTAGTGGTGTGGAAATGATATCTCGGTGTGAATTTTGTTTTCATTTCCTGACTACTCATGAAATTGAGGGCCTTTTCTATTGTTTATCGGTCAGGCCATGCACATTTCCTCTTCTGACACTTGTCCATTTTTAGATAGGCTGTTTTTTTCTTATTGATTCATAGTAGTTGTTTATATATTGTGGATAAGAGCAGAGCTTCTTATATGTAAACATGTCATTAGAAGACACACAATTCTTGAACATCGCTATCCCAAAACTATTCTTTTGCTTATTCAGATTAATCAACATACTCTCCCTTCCCACATAGGAAGCCACCAAAAACAAAATGCCACCACCATTTGAACAATAGTTTACAAACATAAAGCACTTCCACAATTAGTACAACTTATTGTACTAATTATACTTAAAGTAACCCAGGAATGCTTATCTTTTTTAAGACAGGGAGACTGAGACTAAAGGCATATGATCCAGACTTTCTGAACTCCAAAATAAACCACAATTGTCTGGCCTCTTACTTCTTCTACCATTAGGTATTAAGTTCCATGTGAGGGTATATTTTAGAATCAACCAAAAAAAGTTAATGTGAACTTCAGGCTGAATCCAGTACACTTTATGAACTACATCACAAGTAAATTCTAGGGTTCGTTTTATCTTTTCTGGTGAGAAACTGCCCAAGATCTTGGCCAGTGATTATGTTTTGCTTTAGCAGAAGAAATACAACCTGAGCAAAAATAAAGCCCTATCCTTGAGCCGTTCTGATCCTACTCAATTCATAGGATTGCCTTCTCCGCACGTCGGGAATGAACACTCACGGATGCCCCGTCCCCTGCCTATCATAACCCTATAGATCTCATGCTGGGTCAGTGCCCTTCCTTGCTACCAAATCCTTAAAGGAACAGAGCCAGGTTCTTCTCTCCCTTGTCACTCCCTCATTCAGAGGAAATACGTGAAACCTGAGAGACAGAAAAGTGAGGTAAGAAAAAGAGAGTATTTTCCAAGCTTTATAGCATCATATCATAATGTATTTATTTCATCTCTGCCATTTCACATACAATCAACCTATGAAATGATACTTAAAAGCCAAGGATTACAGCAGAGACATTTTGCAAATGATAGTGTTCTGTTAATAAGGAAGATCTTGGGGGCACCTGGGTAGCTCAGTGGGTTAAGCCTCTGCCTTTGGCTCAGGTCATGGTCTCAGGGTCCTGGGACCAAGCCCTGCATCGGGCTTTCTGCTCAGTGGAGAGCCTGCTTCCTCCTCTCTCTCTCTGCCTGCCTCTCTGCCTACTTGTGATCTCTCTCTCTCTGTCAAATAAATAAATAAAATCTTAAAAAAAAAATAAGGAAGATCTTGTTCTCATTCCCAGAACGAAAAATAAAAAGAGAGGACTAAGATCAGATTTGGACTATTTCTATTAAAAATGATGTTCGAATGCTAAGCCACGTGACTGGTGGGGATGGGCTCTACAAGGCGACCTGAGATCGGATGTGGCCAAGCCATACATATAGTCAGGCTGCTCAGGGAGGAAGTGGGGCACAGTGGCTTGGAGCAGAGCTTTGTAGTCATACGGACCTGCTCAAGACTCTGGTGCTGTCACTCCTTTGCTCCCCAGCCTCAGTCTTGTCACATCAACATGCCGATCCTCAGTTTCCTTGTGTAAGATGGTATTTATTAGCGTGGCCACCTAGACACCATATGATAAGGGAATGCACACTCAAGGGCTTAGCATAGAGCCTGGCACATCCAAAGTGCTCAATGAACTTGATCCATTAGGATGCCTTTGGCTTTGTTATGGCTCAGCCCAATCTCATCACACTCGATTCTGCTGCCCCATTTATTTATTTATGTACTGAGAGAGCACAAATGGGGGGGTGGGGCAGAGAGAGAAGGAGAGAGAGAAAATCTTAATCAGGCTCCAGGCTTAGCAGGCAGAGCCCAACACAGGTCTTGATCTCACAATCCCGAGATCATGACCCGAGCTGAAATCAAGAGTCAGATGCTCGACCAACAGGGCCACCCGGGTGCCCCTCTGCTGCCCCATTCAGATAGTCAGTATAAGAGAAATGAAATAGGATGCATTACTAGAGCACTCTAATCAATTCTTTAAAGGAAACGAGCATATTTAACATTGTTACTTGGAATTGTTAATGATCCGCATAGAAGAGTTTATGACATGGTACAGTGAGTTTGAAGTTCAAGAGGCATACACCTGAGTCTAGGCAGAGCATACCCCGCGTGGACCCCAACAAAACGACTTCTTTTCACTTCCTACCCTACTGGGCTGACGAGGGTCTCCTTCCTCCTCGTAGCCACACTGTGGCATAACAGCCCTAATCCCCTCTCTCTTTCCGAGTCAGTTCAACACAACTTTAATTAAGGTTCCTTCCCTGTGCCGGGCTCTGGGGACACTAAGATGCATAGGGGGGTGCCTCTGCCTTCGAGAACCCAGGGTCTAGCAAAGGAGACAGACACCAGTCTGTCAGGTCCCTGGGGAGGACTTATACATGGATTCCTGCTCTCACGTGTGAGGGTACCCAGGGGGAGCCTGTAAGCTTGGCTCCTGGCAGAGCGCTTATCTGTGTGTCTGCCTGAGTGAGGGCAAATCCGTCTGATTCTGCCCTCTCTGGCTTGCCCTTCTTCTTCCCCTTCCACCATGGAATCACCTCATCCTCCCTCACTTAGAATCAGGCACCTGGGCCCTCCCATGCTCAGACATTTCCCTTCTCCCTTCAGCAAGAAAGAATGAGAAGCCTGGGGATAGCCAGTTTTATTTATTTTTTTTAATTTATTTTTTTTTATTTTTTATAAACATATATTTTTATCCCCAGGGGTACAGGTCTGTGAATCGCCAGGTTTACACACTTCACAGCACTCACCATAGCACATACCTTCCCCAATGTCCACAACAGCCAGTTTTAGTAAGGAGAAATTCATTCCTGCTAACACGTTAAATAGCCCTCTACCCTAAAGACTGGGCCCCTGAAGGAAAACCTACCTGAGTGATTTAAGACTGTTCCTACATTGGAGGAGAGGATTGGGATCAACAGGGAAATCAGAGGAGATGAGCTATCCTCACCTCCCCTGCCCGGTTGGCTTTCAAGCCCTCCGAGCCTCTGGAGGCGCAGTGAAGAGAGCTGAATTATGGCTGCTCTCAAGCCAGGCACACGGGTGACACAGAGGTGAGGACAAGCCACAGGACAGAAGGGCTGGAAATGTCTGGGCGAAGGCAGAAAGGTCAGTCCCAGGGAACTAAGGGAATCCCGGCCCCAGAGAGAGACTAAGACCCAGGTCCCTCGCCTTTTCCTAGATGTGCATGAGAGGAGAGGAGAAGGAGAAAGGAGTTCGAGGACAAGCACAGAGCTAATCTTAACACTGATTATAGCTGTAAAGGACTGGGCACATAAGTAAACTCAAAAATCGTGTTGGTTATGTCGACATACGTTATTCATAGTCATTCATGCCCACTCTCTTACCATTTGTGCACGATGACCATGTTGTGCTAGAACAATGAAGGACTTCAACAAATATGGTTCAGAGTAGTTCTAAGTTTTATTCAATTTAGATGAGCAAATGATACACCCGGATGCCCACCTTCACAATGTCTCCCTCCCATTACACAGTCCTCTATTCTCAACTTTAACAGCTGAGCAATATCGTTGCTTTTAAGCTATTAGACAGAAAGAGGTTGGAGGAGGTAGAGATGAGTCCTTTTGTATTCAGTATTTCTCCTGATAACTTTTATTATCTGAACAAATGTTATACAGTGTGCCTGTTCCCTGTGCTTGGAATTCATGAATTCTTTTTTTCACTCAGGTGTTTCATAATCATGATAAGTAAAAATGATAAGTTCCCACCTTTTTTTCCCTTACACATACACACATATATATAGGTAGATGCCTTCCCAGTGATCTGGATTCAATCCTAACCTTAATAAATTATGCTGCCATGCCAGCTAAGTTTAGCACTCAATCACTAAATTTTCTAAATTACCATCATACAGAGATTTGAGCCGGCTCGTCGTCAGAAGACCTACAACCAGCTAGGAACCACGGTGTTGGAAGAAGCAGGCAAAGGGCACTGGTTGCTGAAGTGAAAATGAGACTTCCTCTCTTCTGTTGCATTGGTTGCATTGGAGCAGTCTGATTCCCTACCTGGAAGGTTTCCCTTCCGTCTATTTTGGTGAAAGAGGGAAGAAGACTTAGTGCACAATTGGACTTCTCTGAGTAAAAGGTAGGATCATAAATAAGAAATGCTTTTTAAAAAATATATATATAATTGTAGAGCAATCTAGTGACAGATGTTTAAAATTTCAATTTTTAATCAGGTAGCATTGAAGAATTGTATGTTCTTGAACTGTATCTTATATACAACTCTGAATAACAGGTAGATGAGAGAGTAAATGCAAGGATCCGGCCATGGTCATTTTAAAATCTGATTACCTGGTAATACCTAGCGGGCAAGTGGTCTCCAGAAAATCACTACTTTAGGGGAAAACACTACAAGCCTTTGGCAGAACCCCAGAGAGTTGTATCCCTCATACAGCAGTCCGTGTTTGGGACCGTCTAGGGAAAGACTTCCCAAATGTAAAAACTAATTGTATACAAGAGCTATACACTATGTTATCATTTAAATAAAATGCATCTTTAAATATGGAATTCTTGGAAAAACTCACTTCATTGTCCAAAATGATGGAGACTACTTTGTTTTTTTTAATCGAAAGTGGAAATCTTCATTATAGAACCTTCCAACGGGACGGGGCAAGAGGTTTTCATTTGTAGAGTATATTTCATAAAAACAGCTAGTGGCCAAGTCCCATCAGTGACAGCATCCTAAGGGAAGTGCTGTGACAGACGTACCTAGAAAGATCATCAGTCCTTGTTGGCTTGCCTGCTCTCCCTGTCCCTGTGAGTCTTTGCAGGGAGCAAATGAGTGCGGACAGAGTCTCTGGGAGGCTAGAAAATCTTGCACTCGTTAATGGAGAAGAACCTCCTTCTGTTGCGTCTCCTGGCTTGGTTGACAGCAGTCCGGACAGCGCACTCGAATACCTGCTGAACCCCCCGGTTGCTGAGGGCTGAGCACTCCAGGTAGCCCTTTGCTCTCACTTCCTGGGCCAGTTTTTTTCCATCTATGGCATTGATGCAGGAGGCCCTGTGCGGTCCCATCTCCCGCTGGTCCGTCTGGGTGGCCACCACCAGCACGGGGGTACAGGGCAAGTTGCTCCTGATTTCAGCAATCCACTTGTTCTTGAGGTTCAAGAAAGAGTTATGGTTGGCCACAGAGTAGCACATCAGCACCACATCGGCCTGCTGGTAGGACAGGGGGCGGATGCTTCGGAAGGCATCATTACCCGCTGTGTCCCAGAGGCCCAGGCTGATCTGGATGCCATCCATGAAGACGTCCACACCTGTGTTCTCATACACTGTGGGCTTGTAGGCCTCAGGGAAGGTCTCTGAAGTGAAGCGCACCAGGAGGGAGGTTTTCCCCACAGCTGAATCTCCCACCAACACACACTTGATGGAACTCAGCATCTTCCCAGCCTGGAGTCCTAGTTACAAGTTCAGAACCCCAAGGGAAAGGGCCCTCAGTGGGCTGCTGAAGCAAAGGCCATTCAATGCAGCGAATGAAATCCAGGGGTGTGGAGTGGGTCGTGTTCTCAGGACCTCGGACAGCAATTCTCCCCGTCCATCCGAGGGAGATGTATGCTCTACATGGAAAACCTCCAAAGGCCAGCCTTCAACTGCAACCAGCTGCAACAGAAAGAGGGGAGGAGAGGATTGAGTCTTTATTCTTCTTCATTTTTTTTTTTTTTTTTTTTAGAGAAAGAGAAAGCTCCTGCAAGTGGAGGAGGATCGCGGAGAAGCAGAGGAAGAGAGAGAATCCCAAGGAGGAACCATGCTCCGCACAGAGCCTGATGCAGGGTCTGATCCCAGGACTCTGAGATCATGACCTGAACCAAAGTCACGAGTCGGTTGCTCAGCAGACTGAGCCACTCAGGAGCCCCTTTCCCTTTTTAAAGACGGGGAGCTTCCTCATTGGCATGCTAATTAAACACAGGGCTCCCCTCGGTGTAGCCCTCCAACCCACTGTCCAATCACTCTCCCCTTTGGTCAGGAAAGCTGTGCACATACCCCAGCCCAGACACCCACAACTCCACCCAGTCAAGAAGCAGAAGCTGGTTTTTATCTCTAAATCAGCCCAGTGATTTAAAAAAAAAACACCAGCAACTGCTCTGATATCAACATGAAAAAGACCTCAGTAGCAACCTGATGTGTGAATGCTCGCTTTCAAACAGCTCTCTGTTGGCTTCTGGTCCACGAGGTGGGGAAGGCGCAGACAATAGCTTCAGTTTCTAATGGATCCCAGCCACTTTGGGAACTGTGACAAAGAGAAGAATAATGAGTGACCATATAAGCATGTCCCGTAATGTATTGATTAATCAGCCAGTCCTTGGTTTATGTGGGAATTTGCGCTAAGGTCAGAGAAAAGAAATCATCGGAACTCTAAAAATTGGCTGTGGTTTTTCTCTTGATGTTTCGCCAAAAACTGGCTATATATGTAATATAAACGGCACTGTCCTTGGCATTTTCTGCCTCTGAAATCAAGCTCTATAACCAAGACGATGACCTCGGTTTGAGCACTTGCTTAAAAGCAACCCTACTCAGTGTGTGTCCTTAAATAGGGCTGGATAAATGATAGCATCTGAATTTCCTGAGAGGGTCAAATAAATTCTCATTCACTGCTGGTGTGAGAGCTCCAGACGGTGAGATCAGCCCTGAAGACAGTGTCCCGTGTGCCGAAGGACGTCATCACAGGCCAGCCCAACCTCAGACAAAGGAAAGGTCTTTCAGACCAAAATTCAGAATGAAGGTTATTAGGACAATCTGGGCTTATAACCTCCCTGATTGGTGATATTCCGACTTCTCGCGTGTAAAGCAATGTATAGGTCTGCCTCGAGAAACAATTTTTTAAAAGATTTATTTATTTATTTATTTATTTATTTATTTTAGAGGGGGGACAGGTAGGGGCAGAGGGAGAAGGAGAGAATCCTCAAGCAGATTCCCTGCTGAGCATGGAGCCGCACGCAGGGCTCGATTCCAGGATCCTGAGATCATGATCTGAGCCAAAACCAAGAGCTGGCCGCTTAATTGACTGAGCCACCCAGGCATCCCTCAAAACATAATTTTTAAAATATTATTTTAAATTGAAAAATAGTTTAGTTTTTTTTAATTTTTAAAAATTTAAAATATTTTTTAAAATTTTAAATATTAAAAAAAACACTTTTAAAAATGACTCCTCTAAATCCTGCCATTCGCTTCCAAGAAATCTTTATTCTTACCAACTTATAGTTTCTGTTTGTTTAATTTGAAATAGTAGGCTTTGCAAATGAGTTAATCAAATACATAATTCACACTAATTTCACGGATTCATTTTTTAATGACCCATGAGCTGGGTGGCTTTGGCCAAGTTACTTAACCTTGGGGAGCCCTGGTTTCTTCATGCAGTTATTTTAAGTATTCAGCATGTGGAGAGTCTGTCTTAGTACAGAACTTGGCGCATGGGACCTACAGGGAACCATCATGTTATGTATTTCCACTACTGTTTATTTAAAATGCTAAATTTTAGGGACAGCTGTGTGGCTCAGTTGGTAAGCATCTGCCTTTGGCTCGGGTCCTGGTCCCAAGGTCCCGGGATTGAGCCCCACATCAGGCTCCATGCTTGGTGGGAAGCCTACTTCTCCCTCTCCCTCTCCCCCTGCTTATGTTCCCTCTCTCGCTGTGTCTCTCTCTGCCAAATAAATAAATAAAATCTTTTAAAAAATAAATGAAATGCTAAATTTTAAATAAAAATTTAACTGCTGGCTGAGTCAGTTAAGCATCAGACTCTCTATTTCAGCTCAGGTTATGATCTCAGGGTCCTGGGATAGAGCCCTGCAGGACTCCGTGCTCAGCAGGGAGTAAGGTTCTCTCTCTTGTTCTCCCTCTGTCCCTCCCCCCATCACTCTCGCACTCATGTGTGCACTCTCTCTATCTAAAAAAATATAAAATAAAATGCCAAATATTGAATGCTGATGGCACGGGGGCTAGGATGTCAAATGTTTGACTAGACTCTGTCTTGAGACTCACAATGGGTCACTTTCACGCACCATGGTCCTAGATACCTACCTCTTTGTCACCAGACCTTTGAGCGAGGTCTCCTTGGGAGGTTCTGTCAGGTCTCTGATTTTAGCTCTTTAGATCTACACGTGGCTTAAATATATGTGTTTGTGACCCCCTCATTACTTGGTCCAGAGCCAAGACATTTTAACACATTTTTGAGTTTTAGTTTGATGCTAATGGAGCAGGACAGGAACTAGGGGGAAATGTGCATGTGTCAGACTTTTGGTTATTAAATAAAATCTTTCTAATAGATTGATTGAGCAAAGGCCAAATTTCCTGAGTAGGTACCTGCAACAAGAAGAACACCAACTTTAAATTTGGGTGGATCTGGAACTGAATCCTGGCTCGGAACCAAGCCCTTATGCAACAACCTTAGCAGAGTTTCTTATCCTCCCTAAGTCTGTTTCCTCCTCTGTATATCAGTGTAATAACATCAACATCACCGGGTTGCTGAGACAATTAACTATGTTTAGATGTAAAAAGTCCCTAGCATAGTGCGTAATGTAAACATACTATATGTGCGCAGTCAACACATAGCAAATATAAATAAGTCCTACTTACATAAGTAAGCAGTCCTTATTATTAATGTCATTGGTAGATAATAGTCACTAAATGCAATGCTAAACAATGATTAATTTTAAGTGGGGAATTAGAAGTAGCCCTATAGAGTTCTCTCTGCCAAAGACTGCCTTGTAAGTCTTACACCCAGCCATGATGACCAGAAAAGGGGGGATTTCTTCTTGTAGCATGAAAACAAAAATATAATGTGAACCAATAAATTCCTATTTTGCGCCTTGCCACCTACCAAGCTTCCAAAAGTCAATGACCTTCATTCCCAGCCAGCTCTAGCACTAAGAGTCACATCAGGTCAGCTCTCAGGGTCTCAGTTTCTCAAATTGTAAAGCAGTTAGACAATATTAACTTTCTCTGTGGTTCTATTAAAACTGAGGCCAAAGGGGAAACCTTCATTACCTGCCTCAATGAATACAAGAAGCTAAACCCCTGTATTGTTCTGTAGCAGCAAAGACAGATGATAAACCTTGATGACACACGTAGCCTTCAGCAGATGGCTAAATATGGAGCTGGGAGGTGGGGGGAGGGCCTCCGGTCCAGGTTAGAGCACTACCCTATATAGACATGACAGATCATCTCCAGCTGGTGTGTCACATGTACCCACAAAAGAGCCGTTATGGGTCCCATCGTCAGTCTGGAAGGCTGATGGGCTTGCTTTCAGTGGAATTTCTCCTACAATGAGAAATTCTCCCTAAAAGGGACTGTCGGTGAAAAACAGATGCGGTTTTTCTGTGGTACTGCACAAATGGGTAACCAGCAGGAGGGCCCCTATTATATGTCTCTCAATGCAGAAAAGAGTTACTGAGAGTGAATTCAAGTGGAATCATGAGGGAGGCCACTAAAATGACCCTGTGAGGGCTTCAGTCACACTGGAATCAATGCACCTTCAATCTCAGAAGCTCTCAGTTCTCAGAAACTTGAGTTCTGTCTCCCTTTATTCCTTTTTTCACTGTTTTCATGGAAAGTACACCTTCAATGGGGCCAGATGTGTTGCACATGGAGAGAAGATGGGAGTGAGTCTTCATCCCCCCAAAGGCAACAAGGTGAGGCGGGAGCCTCCATCCACTACAGCAGAAGGACAGAAGCAGACAAGAGGGAGGGCATAGATGAGTCGCCCTCATCCATTTCATCTCCTGGAAAGCTGAGGGCTATCTAATAGGAAGTCCAGGATTCATTCTGGCCTCGGGTCCCATGCCAACTAACAGATCCCCGTTCTTCCCTACTGATCTTTCTTTGGACATACTCTGTGCTTCCCTATTTGCCTGCAAAGACCTTTCCCTTCGCTCACCGCCCCCCCAACTCCCACCCACTTCTTGAGAATGTTTTCTAATGACCTGAGCCATGTCTGGATCAGTCACCCAACTTGTGTTGTCATAATCTGTTCCCACAGACCCATCCTGTAGCCATCATCACGCCCTGATAGAATAGTTTGCCCTCTTGGGCTTATCCCTCCTTTATAAACCTGGAATAAGAATTGCCTCGCCTTCCTTGCAGGAAGTACGTAAGGATCAGGTAGCAATCATACCAACAAAGCAACAATTATGATCATTATTGACTAATTATTATTGCGAGTTCTAGGTTATCTGGCCTTTGATTGAGGTGGCCTATTTCCAAATGCTAATGGAATCCTAAGCTATCTTTCTCAAAAAATATGAACCAAGGATGGCCTCTCGATTACAGAGGTTACATCTGAAAGGCACCATCCTCAAATGGGCTTTGGGCAGAGGTCCTGCACTAGCAGCAGCCAATTCATTCATTAAGAAATGGATTCTACCACAAATATAACACACTTAGATGATTAAAAAAGCATCATGTACTTCAGTGACCCCATCTCCCAACAGGACCTTCCCTCAGTGACCCCCTCCACAGCCTAGCAGGGACACCACAGCGAGACCAGGCCTTGCCCCGCATGGATGAGCCCACGGAGACCTCCCCATCTGGCAACGGGGTTGAGGGCTTCCTTTCCTTTCTTTTCTTTGGCTGGGGAGGGGGGCGCCAGTGAGGCCCAATTCAAAAACTCTTAAGCAACTTAATAGAGAAAAATGTCATTATCTCCAAATGTTATCACTCCAGATTACAATTCAGTTTTATTCTCTAATAAATATACACGTCTACAGATCTTCTCAACATTTTCTCAGATTTTTTAAAAATGTCGATTTTCAACAGTCTACACACTTGCCAGGTTTTAGCTAAATAGCTTTCCATTGCTTCAATAATCCACAAGAGCCCAGCCGTTCTCCATGGTTAGCCAAGTCTTTGAGTTCGTTCCCTAGGATTTCTCCATCATTAGCAACTGTGCTATTTTACATATAAAAATGTATATTTTACATATAAAATATACATATATTTTACATATAAAAATGCAAATGTATATATATATATGTCTATATATGTAAGTTACTTTTATATGGGATGATGATTTCTTGGGGGATATAGTCACAAATGTGGCATTACTGGGTCCATGGTTGTTTTGCGATCTTTATTTACATTTTTCGGCATCTTTCAGGGTCTGTACCAAGTGCTTTGTATTACTCATTAGTTGTTTTATGCATTAAAAAAAAAAAAACATTTGTTTAGGCCTTCCTGTGTGGAGGGCACCATAACGTGTCCTGAGAGCATACTAGAAACACGTAGAGATATAACTGT